ACCATGACGATACCTGCGGTGATGGCTCGGCGATACCATGGGAGAGGGGAGATCTTGAGATACGCGAAGAATAGCGAGGCTTTCGTTGACCCGTTGGCGCAGATGAATATCGGAGCGACGATGTAGCTGACCTAAAGACATAAGGATGTCAGTGGATGCCTCAACCTGTGTCGAGTTCAGAAGACTTACGAGAGCCTGCTTGGCCCAGACATCAAGAGGCATTTCCCAAGCGTGGTGACCCAAGCCCCCAATCGCACAAGACCCTAGCGTCCTTTGCTTAGCAGAAGCCTTTGCAGGCAAAGGATTTTGACCTACAAGTTTGTAAAGATTGCATGGCGATGGAGCATATCTGACCTCACGAGTCAGTGACTGGCAACAAAAGTGACACAATCAGACTCGCATCTTGGTGAACTTACCCAGGCAATGAGCATCAATGCTAAAGATAGCAATCACGATCAGTTGGAGTTACGCGTTGACAGCGAGAGTTATTTCGGGCTCACCATCATCGACCTTCGGCCCATCCGAAAATACCAACTTGGTGTAAAACCTTTGGACTAGGCATACCAGAGCGAGTGGACCCAAGATGCCAAACACCAGGTAGTGTTCCAACACACTCTGCCGCTGCGGGTTCTCAAAGTCGACGACATAGCCTTCAGGAGGCGACATCACTGTGGTTGTGCCATTCGTGACTGGGTATTCGATAGCCATCAGAACAGGCCACGGGGCGACCACGTCGCCAAAGGATTGCGGCGAGGGCGGCGGTGTAGAACGAGAAAGGCAGAGAGAAGCGAGAAGGAATGTACCGGCGCTTGGTAAGAACGGCCAAGGAGAGGCTGAAAGTGACTGAAGATGGCACGGACAAACCGGTTGAGCTCAAGAGAAGGAGAAGAAGCACAAACCAATCTGTGACAGTGCGTCTGTTCGAGATCTGCTGGGTGTATTATATCCAACCGTCGTGATGGCAAAATCCTTTCCAAGTAATTCGCAAGCCGTCAGAATACCAGTCGGGCGTTGGGTGGTGTTATCAATATCGGGGACCATCAAGCCAAATTCCCGGGGTCTCGAGTCTGTGGTATCATGTTCATCAAAAGAGACAATATCTCAACGCCAGACCTCCTTCTGAGCAGCCCAAAAGTCGGGCCTGTTTGCCTTGGCTTGTAGACTGCAGAAGCTTACGGCCGGTAGGTAGGGCTATCGATGCTTGCAGTCCACGAGACTGTTGGTGCAAGATCGGAGACCCCTGTTCCAACTACCAGGGGAGCTGGTCCACCGTGTTTGCTTGCTGGAAGAGAAATTGGGCCAATCCAGATGGGACTGAAGTGCTTACCATATTCCTTGCGCATGAATCTGGCAGGGAGCTGCGGCTCACCGGAGGAAGCAAACAATACCAATCCAGAGGTTCCGGCCGGATATCCAATATTCCAGTCCAGCCGTTCTGATTCCCACGGAGTTCTTCTCCCGAAAGAGACACCACCTACCCAAACGTTAACAGATACACTCGCACCGCCTAGAATCCGAGAGTCCTTAAATGGTACGTTACGGTCCTCTTCTTGTGTCAAGATCGACCCGGATAAAACCAGCGACTCCTGAATCTTCGCAATCTACCCTTCAGCCGTTCGATCTTGCCCACATCACACCCCTACTTCTCTCCCTATCCTGTTGATCGTCATCATGGTTCGCATCGTCCCCTTCACTGTTACCGCCATGCTCTTCGCCAGCAGCGTGGCGATCTGCACGAGAAACGGTCTCACGCAGATGTTGACCCACGTCAAACGTCACCCAAACTACACGCAGACTGAGTTCTGGGACTACTGGTACACCCAGCATGCACCTAAGGTCGCTCCCTTGGCGTCCTACTTCAACATCTCGCGTTACCAACAGGTTCGTGATTCACTTTTCACCATCCACTATCCCATCTGGGTCACGTCTTGAACACTCGCTTACCCGTCGCAGGTCCGCATTGGAGGTCTTGTGCTCCCTACCGAGGCCGGTGCAACTGAGCCTGCCTCTGATGTTCCTGTCGAGTTCGATGGAGTTGCGATGTTTCTCTACCGCTCTCCTGACGATCTCGCTGCTATGATCTCTCACCCGTACTACACTGAGGTGGTTCTTCCTGATGAAGGAGTCTTCATCGACAAGTCTGCCTTTGGTGGCGGTCAGGTTGCTTCCTTCGTGGGCGCTCACTTTGAGGTGGTGGATGACAAGAAGGATGTCTGGATTGGCAACGATGCAGACAGGGAGAAATACCAGCAGCTGTTCGATTCCTACAACTAAGAACAGCTCGAACTCCCTGGGTAGTGATCGCGAACGGTGACTGGCAAGATAAACGGCATGTAAAACGGTTGATGGATCTAATCTGAGTGCGAGGATCGTTGTAGATCAGAGGCCAATGATGATATAATTGGACTTATCGCTCACATCTCAATCTGCCCATCATTGCTCGAAATAGAGGCGTTCGTGATCGAGGACCACCATGATCGCGGGTCACCATGAGAACATGTGTCTTGGCTGCCGCGAATGCCCAGAATCCAAGCCTGCACCGATCCCAATGAGATTGCCGGTGAACACCTGGAGTGTCATTTTGCCAAGTGTGTGTCGGTGGCAGGTGAAATGTGGAACATCACATGAAGTCAATCCTATCACACCCCCGTGCTGCCTTGACTCTCATTGCAGTGTGCCTGCAGGCACGGCATGAGACACCAGCGTCGGCGTCGTCAACTCGGAGACGTATGCCAGCTCATAAATCACACCTTACTTTTTGATCAGAATGAGCTAGACATCATTGGTCCTATTTCCATGGGAATCACACTTCGTCTCGTCGGCTTCTTCGGCCCCTGGCCATGGTCAGAGGCCCAAGGAAATTCACCCGTGTCACTTGGCGGGCCTTCATTCAATGTTTGCTTCTTACCGGGCTTGGCTGCCTGGACTTCCGGGTCCATGATAGCAGGTGGATACGAACAACTTCCGTAGCCATTGTTCTTGCTTCAACAATGGGGTTGTGTGATTTACAGCAGGGGCTCGAGGGGAAGAATCTCAAGTTTTGACGTTCAAAGTCCGAGCCTGGCGGGAGGGGTTCCAGCGGGTCGTCGAGAGAGTGTTGTCGTTGGATGGCGGCCCTACCCCTTGCTGTATCTCTCCTCGGGATTGGTTCGTTGGCGTCGGTTCGAAAGAGAGCAAACTGGACCCTTGCGTCAGAACGAGTTCCAACGAGACTCGGGATTGGTTGCCGCCTAGATGGTAAATGAGCACACCCTTTGTATCGTCTGAGCGCCACGTAATTCACACCGAGGCAATGCACGCGCAGGGATCGCGTTTACTGCTTTTGGAAGTCATGGTGCGAATTGTGATCATGGCGGAGCGGGAGCTTGTGTTCTTCTCTTTCCCCCGGACGTGCAACCCCGGCATTGACATCTTGGCGGTCTGATAGCAGCCGTTGGCAATCCATCTCGCCCGGGAACTGAGCGGGTTTGGTCCCAGCTATTATGGCTTCGTTGGTGCGGGCGATGAGTAACAGCCGCCTGAAGTTTGGCAACGAGAAACGATATGTCATATTCAGGCCGTGGTAAAGGCGCCAAATGCGCGGAAATAAGAGGCGCTCCGAGAAAGTTACCGGAGCTCAAGAGGAATGGTGCCTTGTTGATTGTGGCGTTGACAGCACGAGGCCCCTGACCCGGTGTCCCGGAAGAGCCCACGACGAACGACGAACGGGTTGCCGCATACGAACCGAATAGTTGGGGCTCTTCCAGAAGATGTCCAAGGCTGAAAGACGATGCAGGTTCCCGTTCGCTAATTTGTACGATCCAGACCGGTCCAAAGACTCTGCTCGATCTCGGTTCCATCGAAATCGTATGTTTGGGCAGTGTTCACTCTGCTCTGTAAAAACGGGCATCCTCTCGGGCTCTTAGTGATTTCAGTAACATCCACTAGAGTGAATTGAAATGGTGAGGCTTCCCAGTGAGCTTTTTACTTCTCAGCAGTTATCGATGTTTCTGCATTGCCATTTACCCTGACCACACCCACTGTATCATGAAAGGTAACCTTATAGCCTAAACCCGGGTTGATGGCTTCCTGAATAAACATCGGACTTGACCGAAACGAGTCGGCGCATCGTTTGTAAGTCCGATGAAAGAGACAACAAGAGCTAAGTGACCATAAAAATATGGAGGGTGGCAGTTTTGGGAAACCCCTAATCAATAAGGCTTGTCGGAGGGTTCCGGGATGGGTTCGTTTGATGAGAGATTTATGTAGACCCTGGAGCACATTGCATTGAAATGGTATTACAAGGAACGATAAATCCCCTACATGCTCGTCTTCGCTCACTGATGAGCAGCTGTGAGTGTTGAAAGGCCTGTTTCGTGACTTGTTGGTGTCCAATCTTGTCGGATCGCATCTGTCGGCGGTCCCCTCGACCCCGTTGGTATTTGCCACCCCCGTCAAGTTTGTGTTCTCTTTTTGCTAGGCTGGTGTGATTTAACCAGCCTTTTCCCCTCTCTGCATTTTTCCCTCCCTTCAGTGGAAGTTTACTGGAGCCTACTACTACAGCCCGAAGAGAGGGCAAGAGCGCCTTAGACGGCAGTCCGTAGCGGCGTAGAGCGGCGGGAATGGATTGAAATCCTCGGGATACTCTGGATCTTTAACTTATGCCAATAAGCAGAGGCCCAGCCCGAGTTTGCGGACCTTTTCTGCTTCGTGTGCAAGACACTCACATAGTCAAAGGTCAATGTTAGGCGTCCTCCTAACCCGGAAACTCGTGGTTGCCAGTGAAGAAATCTCCGCTTCTATCTTTTGAAGAAGGACCTTTAAAGCTGACGGAATCGTGCGCAGAGACAAGTCGCTACAGTTTACTCTCTGTGCGGTGTTGACATTATCGTCACAACCTGGAAACCTTAAAACATCGACCCTGCAGGGAACAGGGGAGAAGAGCAGCTCTGAAGATCTGATTCAACAACATAACGGTCCATTTGATTCAATGCCTGTTACTTTACATAAAAATGATCAAGTCAAATTTTCACAGGCTGTCTGGCATATCGCATCAGACCTTCCTGAGTGCAAGACAACAACAGAATCCCATTCTGCGCATTCCAAAGCCTCTGTGTGATAAGAACCCTCCCGTCGCCAGCCCATTCAGTGGTCCTTAGACATACCATCCACTCGTCTACCTTTGCGTTCGGGTCGTGGAAGACTATTGAGTGGTTCAAAGTGATCTGCATGCCCGGTGTGTCTTTCATCTTGCCAAACTCTGCATTCGAGGCCATATGAGGCACAGATAGGGTCCAGATATCTGTCAGGTATGCCAGCGCAGAGAGATGAACAGCTTGAGAATCAACCGAAACCTTTGGGGCGCGTACAAAACTGAGCGACTCGAATCTCGTCGGGTCGGCGGTAGTTTTGTAAGGCAGAAAACGCCAGTCAAACGGGTTCGGCAGGGCCTCCACGATGTTCGGAGGAATACCCATGTAACTTTTGATCGCTTTGTAGCCAGGTTCGATGTCTTCTGGAGACATTCCCTTCATGTTCGGCATCTTCATCTCGTACTCGAAGATTTTTGATGGATCTTTCTTCGTTGTGTACTTTTGGAAACTGATGAATGCCATGAATATGGGCTTGTCATTTTGAATGGTCCGCACGACTCTGGTGGCAAAGGTCCGTCCATCCGCAACTCTCTCAACATGATGAACAAGTCTAGAATCTTTGGAGCCTTGGCGTATGAAGGTTGATTGAAGGGAATGCACGTAGTAATCCGGAAACGGCAGCGTCTCTTGGGCGGAGCGGATTGACTGCGCGAGCAAGAAGCCTCCAAAGATGCCTCGAGCCTCCGAAGGAGGGTCCCACGGGCGACTGTTTGTTTCGGTCAGCCAGCTCTAAAGATGCATCAGCGTAAAAGCAGATACCGGTCTTATTTTGAGCGTACTTCTCGTTGGCGTAGACATCTGACCCGCCTTCAGCATAGGGAACGACTGAAGTGCATGCCTCGACAGGCATCACAGGGCGGCGTGAAGTCATCTCTTTCGACAGGAGACACAGTGATTCAAGATATCCTGTTATCAGGAGACCAAAATTGAACGGTTCACCGCGCCCCCTCGGCGATAGCCAGATCATTGGCGACCAACCACCTGCGAGCCCAACCGCCAAGCAGCTCGCCAAACGCCGCAACCTCGGCAATGGGCATCACAACCGCATTTGAACTGGTTTGACTAAGCACATCCTGCAGTGACACCCCGGGCATTTAAGCGTCGGCCGGGGAGGACATCTAGAAACCGCTAGCACCTCCGAGGTTTCGTCGGTAGCGAGCGTGTTGGAAGTGATAAGTGATCCAATCAGTTGAGGTGGGCTAATTCCACCCACCAGTCCCCGGTTATCTTGACCTGTTAGCAGCGAAATAGCGGCTTTCGCAGATTAATACCGGCACCATTGTATCTGTTTGCGATCCCATTATCATGACACGCCATGGAAATTAAGGTTGATGTTCTCTACGAAAATCCATCGAATTTATTCCGCGTTGAAGTTGTGAACATAAACTTGACAGCGAGGCATTACACTTTCAACACCCGTACAGCCACCCCGTGCTGTATGCCCTAGTGCCATTTTTGAGGAGCCTGTCGTGAAAATATGTCAAGGCGTATGGCCTGGAAAAAGAAATTCTATCATCTATTCATAATTCATACAGACTACATCGTACACAGTTTTGCGATGGTTTCCCATCAATGTTTCTTTTTACCGTGGCAACCTCTCCCACCCGGTTTTCATAGTTCCCGTCGGAGTGAATCGAGGAAAAGGGTGTGCTTCAGTGTTGAATACAACCTCAGTCAACGACATATAATCTGTTGGGGAAAATAGCAAGTACAGGTACTTGAGAGTCTCGGCCTGTAGAATGCTTCGTCAGCTCAGATCACCAGAATTGATTCATCGTTCATTTCTTACCAGCCAAAAACTCTCCATGTTGTCTCTTGTTGACGGTGGTACTGTTCGCACATCATTGAGGCTCGTGAAGCCCTCTCCGTCAGGGGCCATAGTGTGCTCCCGAAAGGCTTGGAAGATTTTCCAACCCCATTCTCGGTACATTGAATCGCCAGTCACGCGGTACATCATGAAGAGACTTTCAACTGTTTCGGGTCTCTGCAGGTTGTGCGCATCCAAAGGCTTGATGATAAAGTCTTTGTGCCATTTCGACAGTGCTGAAGTGGAACGATGTCAGAAAAGGCCCACATTCACTGGGAAAACACTTACTGCTACTAGGACTACGCTGCTTTCTATCCCCAGGGTTCGGTTGCAGGTCGTATTCTGTGGCGTTGAACCATGCAATCTCCGGCGCAAGTCCAGTGCCTGTGACAACGTACATGCCCCAACAGGTTTTCATGAGTTCGATGGCAAGTTGCACATCATCTTCATGATAGGGCGTCCACTCTGGATCGCGACGAGCTTCGGCTAACGTTCGGCCCTCCGTAGCCCAGGTGCATGGTCAGATATGGATGCAAAGGGCCGACAAGGAAATACTCACACCCATAGCAATAGTACCGGGAAGAAAGCAAACGAGATGATCCATTTTGGGCGAGAGAGCACCTCCAACACCCGCAGGAAGTTCAGCGATGTACTTTAAAGCAGCATTGCGTGTTGTGGTGACAAGGTGCTTTTGAATACCATCCAGTACGTCTTCCCACATGTCACGATAGATCGTCTCTCCCGTCTGGAGATATTGTTTTGCGAGGTACTCTGCTCCTGATTTAGAAAGAAATTACACAACGAGAGGATAACTCACTCACCATAGTATGAGTCACCCCGACTTCCGAGCCGAATCTCTCTTGTAGTGAAGCGACCATGATTGGGATGCACGAAGATCGGCAACAACCCACCTTCCATCTTCTGGTCGTCGAGTACCTTCATCACACGCTCGGCCTTCTTCCAGTAGACATCGTTCCCTGTCAGATGTGACAGATACTTCATCTCCAACTGCACTGTAGCCGCCTCTGCCGTCGAAGAAGAGCCGCCATCGGCATGAGATGGGATACCCTTCCTCTGGCCGATGTTGACACTGGCATAAGGGATGCCTGAGTTGCTGTCGAAAGCAAAAAGCAGCCGGCCCGCCAAGTCGACTGCCTTGGAAAGGTACACAGAGTCTCTCTTTGACGCGGCGTGGGGTAGTTGGGTCGAAAGGTAATGCGTGGAGAGTAAACCACCCAGCATGCGGATAGTGGTCTCGAAAGTGTTGACATCCTGGTCCTGGTCCCAGGTGAGACTGCGGTGAAGCCACTTGCGTGCATCAGAAAGAGGCTCCGTCAAGTTCATGAGCATCATCGTGTCGAGGCTGTCCACGATGATCCATCCTAGGCCTGATGGAGACATGTTCCTGCCTGTCTTTGCAAGCGGGTGGAACACATCATTACCTGGAAGCTTAGCATGTGCTTCTGGTCATTACAGAATGCAGCAGACTCACCCCAAGCGTGCTTCTTGTATGCGTCCCAACTGATGGCGAAGGCTTCTTTGACTTCTTCCCTTCGAGCGTCCCAATCAGCGAATTGAGAATGTGGTGAAAATTGCGAGTACCCAAGTGCATGATCTGAGAAGTAGCTTGCAACGAACATACTTGCTAGCCCAATAAAGCATAGCATGATTATGACGTTGCGTATTCTGCGCTGCATATTTCTCCTGCCGTGGTGGGATGACCGCCTGGCTCTTCGGATGTCGTCGCCAATTGATTCGGCGGTCTTAGAGACGGAGTAAGACGAGTAGACTGAATCTGCTGACGAACCTCGTCGTCCGCGTCTGGTTGGTGATGACGCCATATCAAATGGTAATGAATGATGGAAAGTTGAGCGGACAAGAAGAACCGCAGTGCCCTCGGTTCAGCAATGAATATGTACATGGCCATCAATCTTGGGAGAGTGACGAGTAGCATCCAACAGGGCTCCGGGCAGTACGGCGCTTATCGTCCGCGACAGCGGTCCCTGCCGTGAGCATCCCGATGTGGCGACCGCCGAGGCCGTCGGCGGCTACTTCAAACGTGTTGGTAGAATAGAAGTCATGGCCGTATAGCATTGGACCGGCGCAAATGCCCGGTAGGCCGGCGTTTTGGTCATGATCTCCTGAAATCTGAATTCCTGCTCAGGCTAACATGGCCTGAGCAATCACGAGCTGGCTGACGCTATTGGATACCGAGGGACTGGATCGGGGAGGTAATGACCTTAAAAAAGACGAAGCCCGGTGCGATGTCGTTCTCTCGAACCAACGGCGAGCTATTACTCGTCGAGAGCCCATAAACCGATGGTTGGTTGGCATGGGTTTCTCTTGGTTCTCTCCCGCGCGCTACGGTCGCCGTTTGTGGCCGTTGTTGATGATTGGTAGAACTGCAGCAGCATTGCCTCAAAAGGGGACAACAGCGCGTAAACCAGCGTGAGATAAGTATGCGCCCGTGGCCTGTCCCCATTTTGGTTTCCTTGGCATGAATTCATGTTTGCTTCCAACGACCAACATGACCGTTGGTGCGTTGTTCATCTGCACCAACAACGAAGATTCGGGTGGGATCACAGCATCGTGAGATGAGTCCAAGATTGAAAGAAGCCCGACTGGCGCCTAGCTAAAACCTGCGCCGCACTTCAGCAGATACAATGGACCTTATGGCGGGCCATGAGATGTCTTCATCGCGAGACAAGAGTCGCAGCCGCCAGCGCGCCGGCGGAGGATGAAAGACCTCATCTTCAGTCGTCTGCCTGTTAGTCACGGAGCGCATCAGTGAATGTGATCCATAGACGGTGTAAGTCGGGCAGATCATGCCCGGCTTCGACCTTATGCTTCTCCCAAAAGTTTTGCTTCACCGAAAGTTCTCACGATCTTTACGTTAATTATACTTTTCACTCATCTTTTAACTTATTCCAGAGGCTGTTTCTCTCTTCGGTGACAAAATGGCTGAGCCATACCCTGCGGAGACGAATGCATCCGGCGAAATCACATCCTTCATCGCGCTCCCAACAGTCTTTACCCCGCCGTCCAGTTGCTCAACTGTCTTCCGACTCAACGGCTTCAGTATAGTAGCCTATGATCCAGGCTTCGGAATTGACGTCGATACGAGAGTCCGATGCGCACCGGCCGCTGTAACGACATGGTGGGAGCAAAGGCGACTCGGAGTCTACAATGGCGACGGACACACTGCCATGAGCATCGGACCTTTGACCTGCCCTTACCAATGGTCCACCGTCGCTTCGTACGTGAAAGATGAAGTCAGTACGCTGGCAATGTGTTGTCCGCCGTAAGCCGCGCCGCATCTGTTTTCCGATTCCTCTCTGACTGAGTTATGAGAGACTACACCCTAACGAACACGAATGGCCATGCCGGGTCTCTTGTCGGAGACTGCCGGTCCAACGTTTTGACTGGCGCCGTCCTTACGTTCGCATCTTCTAATGTGTCAGAGGGCCGGTGGAGGATGAACACCACCACTGTAGAGTGGGAGTCTTTTATCGGGGCCATTGCTGTTGTGGGATGGAACACTCTTCCAGGGGCCACCGGGGCGCCATTCAGTTTATCTGCCACCGTGACAACCAACCTGAACTCCCCAGCACGAACAAATACAGACGCTTCAGCGCTTCCCCGACAAACAGCACCCACAGAGCCGACACCCACGATACTGCCATCCACCCCAACCGAGATCCCCACGTCAATAAATCAAGGTATTCCGCTAAGTACAACTATCGGGATTGGGGTCGGAGTAGGTGTCGGTGTCATTGCCATTTTTCTCGTTGCGTTCCTGCTCTGGAGGAGAAGGCGACGGCAATTGCGCAACTCAGAAGAGCCCTCAAGTTTTGATGCGCGGGCACCAATACCGTACGAGCCGGACAAGTATGCGTACCAGTCGTACTATCATGAGCTTTACGGTCATCAAGATGGAAGACCAGCAGGAATGGCGGAGATGCCTGTCCCTCAGTATGTTGCGGAGCTAGATGCACGATAACCCCGAGTTATTTGATGAACTAGACGATACGATGTATCATATCTGGAATAATGGTTGATAGAACGAAGTCTGGCAAGGACCACAGACGGCAATGGAGACAAAGCAGACAGGCTCGAGTTAAACAAAGACAAGACAATTTATTGGGATATCTTCATGCCAAGGCCTACCAATTTTCTCTTTTGATCTTTTCCCCAAACAAATGAAAATTATTGATAGACATTATCCATGCGCCAGTCTCTCTTTTCATGCCCGAAAACATCACCTGACGCCATGCGCTTGCAAACAACGAGCATCAATCAATCAACTCGCTTTCGACCCAGCACTCACAGGGCTGACAAGCCCGATCCTGCTCATCCGACTGAAGACACTGCCGGCCTTCCTTCGAATCTTGCTCCCCTCAGCTGGTGTGCTCACGGCCGGCGTGGTCAACGTGCTCGCGCTCATCGGGCTGACAACGTCCTCATTCTCCGCCTCGGCGTCAGCCTCATCATCAGTAGTGCGACTGCTTCCTGTCGTCATGCTTTCCATACTGCTTCCATCATGCTGGACAGCGAGACTCAATCTTGGGCGGCGAGCTAGGGTCTGTGTCGGAGCTTGCGTCTCCGGTACATCCGTCTCCAACTCTACCGGCGAAGCAGTGGTAATTGCTGCGCCGATGTTCGGCTGCGCGCCGCTTGTCATCTCCGCGATGGAGTTCATGAAGGGCTGCTGTGCAGCGGTAGAGCTGCGGTAGACATCAACAGAGCTGGATGAGCTGGCGGAGGTGCTGCTCAGTCCTCGCTCCACTGTCTTATTGGGAGTGATGGTAGTGGTCAGCCGACGCAGGCTGCGGCCCCATGCCGGATGGGCCTTTGGTGAAAAGACCTCAGAGATGGTTCGCCGCTTGGCGTCACGCAGTTTTCGCGCAACAAGCTCGAACTGCTCTGCCATGGTGGGGTGCGCCATGATCTCCTCCATGGAGATGTGCAGGTTGTGTGAGCCCGGGATGCCCAGCTTTGGAAGCTCTTGCGTGAGGGCCTGGGATAGCTGTGCAGCGGGCATCATGCTTCCCCAGAGATCATAAAAGGCCGCGTTGGGAAGCTGGCTCTCCGGGACGCCAAGAGACCGCGGGTCAAGGATCTCGGTCCAGACTTTGGAGATTTTCTTCTGAATTGAGGCGCGGTGGTCGTCGGACATGCTTGCGCCTACGTTAGTTGTCCTTGGCTCCATGTCGATCTGAGGGAGAGGGATCTGTGGCGTGACGGCACAGTAGTCGGCCGTCGCGGGGATGAGGGGATGAAGCATCGACACAGAGGTCAAAAGCTCGATGGTGGAGCACAGAGCTTTGAGAGTCTCGTTGGCGAACAAGCTGGGAATGCGGTTCTCGCAGAACGTGATTGAGATATCTCCGCAACTGGGGTTGTCCTGGGTGGAGATAACGTGCAAGTCGTACATGTCGCGGCTGATTGGTTCCACGATGTTGAACTTGCACTTGACTGTGCCAAGGTTGAAGATGGCGGCCTCCTTGGCGGCATCCTGGTGACGGTGCTCGACGACGGTGCTGAAGCGCGTCCAGTAGGGAAGCTTGGTACACTTCTCCACTACCTCGAGCCAACCCATGTTCTCGAAGGGGATGCTCATGACGCGCTGACCATGGACGTACTTCAGGAGCTCAAGTGGGCTGCTGAGTGTCTCGGCGAAGCGGACACGGACGGGGATTGCGTTGGAGACGGGACCCAAGGTGCCGGAGATGTCGGAGCCGTCAGCGAGGCGGAGATGTCTGCCCTCAATGACTTCGCCGAAGAGAACATCGCCAGAGCCAGAGAGGTTGGCAAGGACCATTGCCCATGCAGACTTGACCACTGTGTCGAACGAGATGCCGAGATTGGCAAGGGACATGACGGAAACGTTCTGGGAAAGGGTCTTGATGTTGGAGCTCAAAGCAGGCGGCTTAGCGTGGGCGACGACTTGGGTCATTTTGGCGCCGTCCAGAAGGGAGGTCCAATGATCCAGGGCGCCGGCGACATGAGAGAGCTGCGCTGAGCGCACGAAATCAAAGTACGTTGCTCTGCGTGGCGGACAGGAGGGGGCGATGTAGATGCTCTTCAAATGTTGCAGCAGCAGAGAGATAGACGCATCATCGTACTGAGCTCCGGAAAGCCGCAGGACCAAGTTGGACTGCTTGCCGGCATCGACGAAGAGGAACTTGGTCATTGGCGTTTCAAGCGCGAAGGGCGCCGCCTGGTCCCTCTTGATCAACTTCTCGGTCATGTTTGCAACCCTCCATGTTGGGACTTCAATTCTTCTGAAATCAGGGTTGAAGGACTTGAGGGCCACCTGGTAAACCCGCCTCTCATGTGTGACGAACGCCGTCCTCAGGATGGGGTGGATCTTGGCAAGACAGATGCAGACGGCCTCGAGCTTCTTGGGATGAACGGGACCAGTGAAGTTGAAGGTGAAGTAGGTGAGACTAGAGCTTCCCTTGAGAAGACCGGTCTCGAGGAACTTGAGTTGAGTGGCGGATGCCTCCGCGACGTCGGTGATTTCCTCTCGAGATATGCCCATCTTCGGCGCGATGATGTCCTGGATGAACTGCTCCTCAAATTGCATCTCGGAGCTCGAGCCTATGGAAGAGGAGGCGTTGGATGGCAGCTCGGCAATGTCGACAGTGAATTCCGCACTTATGGTGATACCCTGGCAAAGCTCGGTGAGGGTTGCGCCGCGAAGGATGTCAGGAAGTGCGATGATGAGACCCTGCTTGCGGCAGTCGACCACGAGCTGGGCAGCAAGGAAGGTCTCGCCACCGAGAGAGAGGAAACTCTGGTTACCGCGGATGCAGGCTGCATCGACGCCTAGGAGAGTAGACCAGATCAACCTCATGCGCTCTTCCACTTGCGTGAGCGGAAGAGGCTTGATGCCCACCGTCTGCACATCATCGGGCGACGGGACGGTTGACAACTCCAATAGTTGTTCTTGAGATAGCCAGCTGACCATCTTCTGGAGTTTGCGGCGGTTGACCTTTAGTGATGGGGTGACCGGAAGATGTCTGACAGGGACAAAGATGGTTGGCATCATGTGTGCGGGGAGACCGCTGCCCACCGAAGACTCAATGAGCTTCTTGGCGATGTAAGTGCGCTCGCGGGTCGTAATCGTAATTCTGGTAAGGTCCTCCGCCCCCTCAAAGAGCTTCTCTCCCAGCTCAATGAATGCTGCCAGTGCAGGCTGGGCATCACGAGTGATGATCGAGTCCACGGCGAGATCCATCCCTTGGCCAAGGCAGCGACGGAGCTGCTGTTCAACTTGGGCGACAGGGATGATCTGACCCTTGATCTCAACATCATCACGGCCGCTTGAGACGAAGTCGAGCATGCCATCGTCCATGTAGCGAACACGGTGGCCTGTCTTGAAGTACCGCGTCTTTGGCTTCCCATCCTCAAGTGACACATCTGAGTCCTGCGGGAGATGTGCCAGAGGCTGTCCTGGAACGAAGCGATGCGCAAGGGTCGGGCTCTCGATGATGAGCTCTCCAATGGCACCAATTGGCATGAGTCTGCGGTGGTCTTCGGGATTGACAATCCAGAACCTGCCGAGGAAAGGTCGCGCGACCCGGGTCAGATCCTGCGGCCTCGTGACCTCGAGAACCGAGATGCCGAGAGGGCAGATGTCTGGAGCACCGTATGCCAGAAGGACCTTTGTCTTTTCAATCCATGGAGCGCAGGTATCCTCGTCGAGGCGTCGAGTCCTGAAGCAGACGGTCCTCAAGCTAGGAATGGCTGCCGGAGTCATCTTCCTTGCCAGGACTGGCGTCAGGTAAGTCCAGTTGACGTCCATTCTGCGAGCGGCGCCGACGATGTCGCTGGTCTTCTCGACGCTGGAAGGCACGCATACACAACCGCCATGTACGAGTGTTGAAAGCAGCTCAATGAGCGCCGTGTCGACGTTGAATGAAGACAGCTGCATAACGCGGCTGTCGGCATTGAGATTGAGTGCTCGGCCTTGTGTGACGAAAGCTGCAGAAAGAGCAGCGTGGTGGAAGATGATTCCCTTTGCCTCTCTGCCACGCGATGAGCCAGGAGAGAGGAGGATGCATGCGGCATCGTTCGGCGCGGCCATGGGAAGAGGCGACTCAAGAGGGAAAGCGACGTTGAAGAGAGAGTCATCAACGACGATGACGCCCTCGATGATTGACTCGAGGTACTTCCAGTTCATGTCGGTTGCGATGAGGATCTTGGGCGAGAGCTGGCGGATGAAGGTCTCGACATTGTTTCGGTCTTCGGCATCGATGGGCACAAAGCAGCCACCGGCCCTATATCTATATCAGTAACGTTGGAACCCGTCAAACAGCTGGAGGGCACTTACTTCAAGACGGCC